ATATCATCTGGTCACTTAACAGCCACTGTGGGCAAATTCCCCATCCCAGCCAGGAGCAGGGCAAAGTCTTCATGCCAAATGACCCAGCCCATGGGCTATGTGTTTGATGCCCTTGGTCTAGTTCAGTCTCCTACGCAAGTCAGGATCATCCTCATTTAAACCATTTCACACGGACGTTCATTTGACCTGCTCTTAAACTTCCAGTGACAGAGATTGCACTATTTCTTTGTAATCTGTTCCAGTGCTTAACCACCCTCAAGGGTTATAGATTTAATATGCAGGTTTCCCTCTCCTTATGCTTTACGTGTGTTCCTGGAAAACAGCATATAACTTGAATTTGCATAAAGGGGACCCACTTTACAATGTAACAAATAGGGATACGTTCCAAGACCTTGACTGTACTGACCCCCAGACCCATTTCTACCACTTTTACAAGACAATTTTGGTACTCACCAACAGCAGATGGTACACACAAGCACAGGGTGGGGGTGAATGTTACCATAATGGGGATGGTGGGGACACATGTCGCAGACAACGAACAAGGAATACAGAGCCATGCAGGAGACTCTAATTTGGTGCAGATCACTCCCACAATGCACTGCACAAAGCGACTAACTACAGGCTTCTACCACACTGATCGCAGAAGAGTGAATTTACTTCGCATATAACAAATTTTTGGTATAAAAAGGATCATCGCATAAGAGTGAATTTGCACGTACAGAACCCACAGAAAGCGAGGGAAACCTGTTGATTGATGGATAGATTATCTCCTTCTCCTTAACTTGGACTTTTTAAAAACCTTTTATAATTTTCCATGAGACCATCCCTGTCTAACACAGAGATCAAAAGTAGATAATAAAGCATGCTATAGGCACCTCATCAGTCAAAAGGAGAACTCTTTGGAAACAAATGGGAAACCAAGTGCAGAGATGACTATTAACTATGACTCGCAATGAATTGCACAGCACTGACTTGTTTGAGTAAAAAGAAACTTGAGTTGTTGTTGCTCCACTTGCACTAGCCTTGAGCCAATAACAGGGCCATTAAACCTCCCTCAATTTTAAAAAATTCCTGCCTCATTTTGTCACAATTGGCTTGCTGTTTCAACAAAATCTGACCCTGATTTGGCAAGCATTTAAATGTGTCTTATTTCACACACCAGAGTAAGTCTACTGTGGGGTTATATGCACAAGTGAAACGTGTGCATAAGTTGAAGTGTTTATACAGGGGAAGGGGTTTTTAATCATCCCCAAATCCATGATTCATTTGAGACATTATGAGGAGTTGGCTGAAAGGTTAGACATGTACAGAAATGGGAGACTGATCTCTTTCCCCATTCTTGATTCTTCTGAGTTTAAAGGAAAAACAATAGATGTGTCCTTTAAGGGATCGGTATTGGAGCTGGGCAAAACTTTTGTAATAAATCTTACGAGCTGAAAATTTTTGTTTTACTTTCCATTTCCAAAGCAAAGTTCGGGGCAAGTTCACCAAAGTGTATGAACCTTTTAGCAGGTCTGGGCTACATTTCAAGCAAGGCTGGGCTGATTTATGGTTCTGGGTGTAAATTTGGGTGGTTTTGACCCCAAGCCACAAAAGAGTGGCAATTTTGGCTGCATTTAGTTTTGCATGTCAGCCTTTATTTCAACCCAGATCAAAGTGAAAGCCTGGGTCAGAACCTACACAAGCCAAGATTGAAGCTGTTGCATGAAGCTTCATAAACTGAGCTTACTGTGTTTTCTGCAGTTCTCACTGTTAATGATCCATGGAGCAGATCTGATATGCACCATATTTCCAATGAATGAAAGGTGTTTTGTATGAATGGCTTAGGTTTCCATCCCACAAGCTGGTCAATGAAAAAGGATTGTTCTTCCCAAGTACTCAAGTCACTGTGGCCACAAGTTCCAAGCGGGTTAGTTTGCAGAATCAGTGTCTTTGTGGTCTCGGTCCAGTTCTTCCTCAGAACACGTGTAGAGAATAAAACTCACCATCACTACTGTATCATTTGATAGTGGTGTGGCATTTTCAGGCTGAGGATGTGTTGAACTACTTCTTGCCATTTCAGCTGGTTTCCTCCCCCACCCCCTAAAAATGGAGACACCTTGACACCACAAAGTTTGGGTGGAGGAAATAATAGTCACTGTCTGTACTATTTCCGTTGTATAGCTATTGTGTAATCAAGCAGGCAGCCTTTATAATGTAGATTTGCTCTAATCATCAAGAATGTGTTTTTAGCAATTCAAGTAAATACATATTATTGCCTATTTAAAAATATTATGTCAAATAGGTCTTGGACAATTCCCAATTCTCTTCTGTTTTGCTTTGCCTGGTGCGTGCTGATTCCCACGAGATGTTTTCTTTCCAGGGTCCATTATTGCTCACAATGATAGAATTCATTGCCACAGATCACACATTCTACAACCACTATGAATTTATTCATGCCTGTTGCCCTAATGAAGCTCTATGTTCCTGCAACTGATGAATGAAGCCTTAAGTTATTTCCTGCTTGTAATATAGAGGGAAGTATTACAATGTTGGGGTTAATGATACTAGTCTCCCTTTTACAAACTGCTTTGAGACTTACTCATGAGAAGCACTATGTAAGAGCTACATGCTATTGAATAGTATTCAAAACATTTTTTAGATTTTTACAAAACTGTGTTCTAATAGTGATACCTTCCATATTTTGTTCCTATAAAGCAATAGCAAAACATAATTTACTGCATCAGGTGAGAGCTGTAAGAGCTTACATCTGATGAAGGGAACGGCCATGCACTTACAACCTCAAAAGTAATTTCTGTTCAAATCACTTGATGATTTTCTCTTCTCTGCCTCTTAGTATTTGTCCCTCCTTTAAATATAAAATCATAAATAAGATAACTGGGCCTAAAAGCCTTGCTGCAATGGTTATGCCATATAGAAGAATAAATGGAAGTACCTCTAAATACCAACTGTTTCAGCAAGGGCTGTAGGGGCTGGATGGTTACCTGGAAACTGTAACTAGAGCTAACTGTGCTTAGAGTTCCTGGGAATATTATTGCTGCGTAAGACTTTGGAAATTGGGGAAAGGTTGGGTGAGGATGATGGTATTAGACATAATCCTTGGGCAGGGGGTGGAGGGGTTCTTATTCTTGTCGCTTTCTCACTATTTCTACCAGCTGCTACCCTAATGCTGGACACGGGCGTGCATCATTCCAGGTACTGTATCATAGGCAATATTTTCTGTGCAAATTCCTCCAAAGACAGGTGTAGCAGTTTAACTGTGATTATGGAGCTGTGGAAGCCTCTTAAGTCCCTGAATGCCATGAACCTGGTGTTTTGTTTTTCCTTGTGCTCACCTTATCAAATACCCTCAGCAAAGAATAGAACCAATCTTCCTAACAAAGGAGTCTCATTATTGCTCAGACACTGAACAGTATTGAAAAGAAGTGAAGTCTGGATCTTTTGTTTTTTGTTTTGCTTTAGAAATCTTCCAAGCCTGCTAAGCTATCTAAACTGTCTTGATTTACACACTTCAAAGTTGTTTTGTTAACCAGCCTTCAGTGAAACCTAGGACATACTACTATTTATTGATATATTTGAAGTTATTCAATAGAGGCCACATCCTACAGCTCTTGTTCATGCTGAATAGTACTTTTTGCTAATGGTTCCATGAAAATTGAAGCAACGGGTCCTGGCAAAAATATTCTTTGTGAGCCTGGCAGATTGTGGACCTCTCTAAAGCTCTCTGAACTGTCATAACCCTAACAGTTTATAAACTTATCTGGCAAAATAAGTGAGTGTGCTCAGTGTGGTAGGTTAAACAGTAGCCTTCAAAGAACTAAAAGAGCCTATGCACACCTTACTTGACACAATCCTTGAAAATCAAACTCAATTCCAATTTGATACTAGCTTTTTTCTCTAGTCACGTTCACAGGTGGGTCTCAAGTGACTTCAGTAGAATGACACTTTACTTACACTGTTCTAACATGAGTTTGTAGTTCAGCCTTCTCAGGGTCTTCACTTGTGACCTTGCTGAAACTTGTGCCTGCTGTCCTACAGAATTAGCATTCAGAGATCTGAAGAATTTCTGTTGCACGAAAAGTGAACATAAGAGTCTCTAGAAGACCGAGCTTTTCCATTCCAAATGCCCCATGATATTAAATCACACAAACCAATTCCCTTGCCTTGCAGAAAAGTCTTTAAAAAGGGCCAGAAGAAATGGAATATTTTTTAAGTTCCCTTGTGGATTTTCCTGAGAAATATCCCTTTAGGTCTCATGGGGGCACTTGAGCAAACGGAGTGTGTCTCAACCTGTGGTCCAGGAGGAGTGGTGCTTATCTAAGCACCATGCTTTGGGGTCCTATTATGGTAGCATCCAAAGCCACAATCCACTTTGCAGCTGCTGTGTGCTGTACAAATGTAAGATGATACAGTTTTCATCTCAAAGAGCTTGAAATCTAAAAATGAAAGGGTGGGTAAAATTGGAAAACACATGCAAAGTGACTGGGTTCATGCTGCTTGGCACAGCTCATGTTGGTTCCTTTTTTTAACAATGTGTTTATATACAACATCCCCAACCGCCTCTCCAAGCAACCATTAGGGTTTTTTTTCTCCCTTTTTTGTTCTCACTGTTGTCACTGTTCCTCCTCTACTAAACCCACCTCAGAAGTAGCTTGAGTAAGTAAGGTTCTCTGAAGTATGTATATTTATGAAGTCTATACTGTATAATTATGTATAACACAATGAGACATCATGAGGAGCCTTTGTTTATGGCCACTGTATCACAAGAGTAGAATGAACAGATTCATTGAAGAAATGTGAAAGCAGCTGCATTTGGCTGGCTACTGTTGTTCTCCTTGGCAAAGACACAGGGCCAAGTTTGTCCTGCTGTGGCTTCATTTGAAGTTGGATGAGTTACGCCAGGACTGAATTGAGAGCCCCTTCCCTCCCCCCACTCCACCTTTGGTAGAACACTATTACCAGATCCCTTTCTCCTAACTTTTCAATTTCTCTCTCCACAGAAAGCCTGTGAGAAAAGACTGTCAGCTTCTAATAAGGTAGGTTTCCTTTTTTAGTTCCATAATGATTCAAAATGCTATCATGTATAGTCTGGTTTGTGTCTGCTGGTGCTATGTCTGTAGCAGTAGGGTTGTTGATCTAAGCAGTCTTAGAAAAGATGGGATCTTTTAGTTTGTTTTAAAATAATTTCCTTGGTCAGTGACCACTCAGGGTATGTCTGTATGGGACAATGTAGTGTATATTATCTCAGGCAGAGCACTCTGCTAACCTGGCTAAATCACTGCTGGCACCTAAGCTAGCCAGGATAACTCTGTACAGTGCTACATCATGCCATGGAGATGTTCCCTAAGCATACAACTGATGTTGAACAAAAGACTGAAATGTTGATTGTTATGAAAACATTTGGTTCCCTACAAAGCAGGGAGAATTTCAGTGAATAAGATCTTCCAGTGAATCCAAAAATCACAAGTAGAAATTGTAAGCAATAGTTCGCAGGTAAAATAATTCAACCAGGGCAGGGTTTGGGGGGGGGGGGGGGGGGGTTCTTTTTTTTACTTGGATTTCATAATTTACAGCAGTAGTTTATTAACAAGAGCAAAAGGGCTGTTGATGCTTTTGTCCTGAAGTCAAACTTCTTTTCCCACTGTGGGCCCATATAAATGCACTATTTATAAGTTGCCTTTCTCTGGGGTCTCTTTTGTCCTCTCACAAGGCAGCTGGCAGCAGTGCTGACCTCCCTTGAGTAGGGCCCTGCCAGCACTGGCTAATCAATATTCACTAGAGTCGGCTGCTTATTATGTAGCCATTGATTATCTCTGGAAGTTGCTCCGTCTGTATGAATTTCATTATCTAGTTTCTTCCTTTTACTTTTCATGCATGCACCTCTAAACACAACCCATATTGTACAAAGAACCAGAATGAAATGATCTTATTGGAGAACGGAGTAGCCTGTTCTCAGATATAAAGGCAGATTCTTTTTAAAATCAGTCTTCAATAAACAACACACATGCCTTCCATGAACCTATGCACTTGTTTATATCTCAGTCTGTACATCTAATTTCTAGGAATTTTTTATTGTGAGCTGTAAATTAACATCCATTGAAGTACGTTAGATTTTACTTATGGTCGTATGTAACTGAAGAGGCTTATACTGGGCCATTGTCTTATGTGGCTACGCAGAAAAATAAACTGCTATGTCCCATTTGTAGCTGTGTTAGACTTGCTCAGACCATGGTCTCGGGCACAGAAGGAGAGAACAGAAGCTGGATATTCTGCATTACCCAAGAGCAAATGGATAGGAAGGCATGGCCAATGATACCCCAACTGTGCCAATATGCTGTGCTTGCAGCAGTGAGTATACTGCATCCTGGTATGGCATATAATAACTTTCTCTTCTCTAAAACAAGAGCGGAGGATTGGGAGAAACTCCATCTCTAAGACAGAGTGCTTTCCACTTGTTCTGCTTGCAGCAAATAGAAGTAGCTGGGAGATGCACGAGAGAATAAAATGTCTGTCTTTACTGAGTTAAATGCTGCCGTGTATTAACTTGAGTTGTTCTACTGGAGCTGACCTAGCTTGAATAACAGCCACACGGTGAAACAACACTACCTATCCAGAGAGATGTGATTAGCAGGGCAATTTCTCCAGCAGCTGAAGAGTTTGTAATTAAGATTACATTCCCACTGCATTAGTAACCTGGGCCAGGTACAGAAGCCCAAAGAGTGCTATAAAAATGGTGAATCCCTAGATGGATATGGTATTAGACTTCAGTGCTGTAGTTTAGAGCACTGTAACGAATATCTGTAGCAGATACTATCATGACTCACATTTGGATGCATTCCACTGGCAGCCCAGTGGACTTTGTGGCACCCTGCTCACCCCTCCCCACAGAGCAGTGCTCTAGTCACGGCCACAGCTCGTGTGGTCTGCCTGAGTGCCAGGCTGGCCCCGTTCCTGGGCTATCACCGAGAAGAGTCAGCAAAGCCTCTGTCCCCAGGCCTGCCCAGGTCCTCCCTCCAGGTAGCATAGATCCATCCACACAAACTGCTTATTGCTGAATTTCTCTTATTGCATGTCATAGGTGCAGTGAGCAAGTGCTGAATGTGAATGTGCTTCAGCTGCAATTCCAGGCTGAAAGAAACCAGGAATGACCTGTTTTGAGAACTGATTCATTTGCACTGATTTCTGGCAATGGACAAGTTCCCTAATGGAAGTAAAGAAATGTACTTGAACATGCTCAAAATGTGCATCAGCACACCTACGCTTACTAATATGCAGCATTGCTACTTTCCAACTTTTCCAGGGAAACTGAATGCATTTGTAAAATGTAGATTATGAAAAGCACATACGCTGCCTGTGCTCAATACTGGATGCAGGAACAGAAACCTGTGAGTCTAGCTCACAGACCAGACGCTCCAGAAATATTGGATGCATTCAGTAGACCATAAAGAAGCCGAGAGTGTTTCTCTATTCTCATGTCTTAAGGCCAATTTATAATAATTCTGGTCACTCGAGTAATGGTTTGGAACCATGTGCACAAAAATCTGGTTCAGACCACTGGTTACAGAGTTTGAGGTATGCTGCTGGGAGTCCCATAGATACATATATAGGGCAGCTAGTTTTTTTGTCAAGCTCCCACTTGTTTGTTTTATTAATTACAGTTTTTCAGTTGTTGCTTTTCCTGGCTATATGAATAATAATATCCAATGCTTTTGCTAGCCTTAATATAGTGTTTCTTTCTTATAGCAATTCACCATTAAAAAAAAATCCTCTGGGAAAGTGGACACGTCTACATGTTCATTACTGTGCTGTAATTATGGCGCTTTAAATTTAGTACTTGTAATGACAGGTAAGGGCAAAAAAAAGGGGGCATAAAGGCTGTGGATACAGGGGGCAGCTACCAAGAAGGAGTATACCTCCTTGGTTCGTACTTGCAGGGAATCAGTCAAGAAGGCCAAAGCAGCATTAAAACTTAAGCTGGCAACAAAAATTAAGGACAACAAAAGTCCTTCTTCAGGTTTATAGGGAATAAAACGAAGGCACAGGGCAGCATAGGTATATAGGGAATAAAACGAAGGCACAGGGCAGCATAGGACCCCTACAGGATAGACTAGGGCAGTTGGTGACAGGTAGGAGAGACTAAACAGAGCTCTTCAATGAGTTTTTGGCCTCTGTATTCTTGAACATAGATCTAGACAAATCTCCCACATGCATTACAGATAGAAGCAGGAGGAACACCAGCCCACCTACTGTCAGCGGTGACCTAGTAAAGACACACTTGGAGGGGCTGGATGTGTTTAAGTCAGCGGGACCAGATGAGCTCCATCCAAAGGTGCTGAAAGAATTAGCCAGTGTCATAGCAGAGCCACTGGCACAGCTGTTTGAGCACTCGTGGTGCTCAGGTCAGGTCTCAGAGGACTGGAAAGGGTCCAATGTGCTCCCTATTTTCAGAAGGGCAGGAAAGAGGATCCAGGTAAATATAGACTGATTAGTCTCACCTCTATCCTTGGGAAAACCCTTGAAAAAATGATCAAGGATCACATTTGTAGGAGTCTAGCAGGTAATATAATGCTGAAGGGGAACCAGCACGGGTTCATAGCAAGTAGATCCTTCCAGACTAACCTTTTTTCTTTCTATGACCAGGTCACTAAATGCTTAGATGCAGGAGCTGAGGTAGATGTCATCTACTGGGACTTTAAGAAGGCCTTCAACATGGTATCCCATCCTATTCTCATAAACAAATTGAATGGTTGTGCCATAAACCATTACACAGTCATGTGGGTGGCAAATTGGCTTAAGGGTCATACCCAGAAAGTGGTGGTAGACAGGTCGGTATCGACCTGGAAAGATGTGGGCAGTGGGGTCCTCCAAGGCTCGGTCCTGGGGCTGGTGCTGTTCAATATCTTCATCAGCAACCTGGATAAGGGTGTGGAAAGCACTCTGTCCAAATTCGCAGATGACACAAAACTATGGGGCAAAGTAAACACTCTGATGGGAAGAAACTGAATCCAGGTGGACCCGGACAGGTTAGAGAAGTGGGCAGAGAACAATAGGATGCAGTTCAACAAGGACAAGTGCAAGGTGCTGCACCTAGGGAGAGGGAATCACCAGCACACCTATAGGCTGCGGGGTGACCTTCTCAGCAGCACAGTAGCAGAAAGAGATCTCGGAGTTGTTGCCGACTCCAAGATGAATATGAATCATCAATGTGATGAAGTAATTAGCAGAGCTAACCACACATTGTCATGCATTAGAAGGTGCATCATGAATAGCTTCAGGGAGGTGATGCTTCCCCTCTATGCGGCACTGGTAAGGCCACAGCTGGAGTACTGCATCCAGTTCTGGGTGCCACAATTCAAGAGGGATGTGGACAACCTTGAGTGTCCAAAGGACGGCCACTCATATAGTTAGAGGCCTGCAGGGAAGGCCCCGAGGAAAGGCTAAAGGACCTGGATCTTTTCAGCCTCCACAAAAGAAGGCTGAGGGGGGATCTTGTGGCAGTACACAAATTCACTGCAGGGGAGGAGGAGTGCAGCAGGGAATAGGAGATGCTCTGTTTACCAGGACACCCCTTGGAATAACCAGGAACAAGAGAATAGATTTAGGTTGGACATCAGAAAGAACTTCTTCATGGTTAGGGTTGCCAGAATCTGGAATGGGCTTCCAAGGGAGGTGGTACTCTCCCCTACCTTGGGGGTCTTCAAGAAGCGACTGGACAAGCACCTGGCTGGGGTCACATGACCCCAGCACTTTTTCCTGCCACGGGCAGAGGGTCGGACTCAATGATCCACTAAGGTCCTTTTCGACACTAGCATCTATGAATCTATAAATCTGCTATAACTGAACATATTAACTGAACAAATCTAAATGTAATTGTTCTGTATGCTGACTGAATGAACTTCCTCTCCTCATTACCGATACTTCTCTAGGTAAGGCAAGTATCCAAAATTAAATTCACTTAACATCCTGAATATTCTGTTTCATGCATTTAAAAAACTTGTCAGACTACCTAGACTTCTGTTCAAGTTCTATAATTTCA